TCCCTCGGGCTCTGACCGTCCTGCCGTGAGGGTTGGAATGAAGCGTTGCAGGTGTCCCTCTGCGTGGGGCGGTGGCCCGGCACACGCACCTCGCGCCAGGTGTTGTGTGGGGCAGCCCTGCAAGTGGAAAATTCCCACTGGGATGGGACAGACGGTTTGGTATGGCTGCACCCTGGCAGATAGCGCTGGCAGGTGTCTTTTCCCTCCATCGCGTGACAGCGATGTTCTAGGACACGAGCGATAAGGACATCTTTGTGACAGCCTCTCAAGCCCGGCTCGGGTCGCCCGTGCTCAGCAGTGCACGGGGTCGGTGCCAAGTCCGCTGGAAGCACCAGCGCTGCCACGAATTTGGCTGCCAGTTTGCAGCTCTGGGTTGGCACTGCGGGCCTTGTGAAGCCGCCGTGCACCGAACGGGAGCTCCCAAGTCAAGGTCCCCAGTCCAGGGACCTTGAACGGCAGCAGTGTGGAAAATGAGAAGTGTGGTCAGTGGAGCCTGGGGCAGGTTGGTGAAGCACAGTATGAAATGCTGAGCGCTGTCACAGTATCTCAGCCGTCTGAAAACACCACAATGAAAAAACTTGGTTGTTCATGATGCCAAAGGAGTGATCCAGTGAGAAACAGAGGAGTCTGCAAAAAACCAAAGAATAGTTTTTTTTCCCGATAATAAATACCAAATAAATCTTTTTCAAGTGAACCATGCTACAGGCTGGGTACTTCCCTTGTGGTTGAACAGGGAACATTTGAGGCTGGGGGTAAAGTCACAAATGTCACATCACCAGACTGTAATGGACTAACACCCTGACTTTGGAACAAAGGGAAGGTGAAAGCTTAATGTCTTTAAATGAACAGTCCTGGGTGAAAGAGAGCAGTAGAGGCACACAGGTAAAGTAGATCCATTTCTTCTGCTTAGCTACGTGCAGCATCCAAACCTTCCAATGATTTTCAGCTGATTTTAATCCATCACCCCTTCCTGATTTCCCCAGGTGACATCCTTATTGATTCAATGATAAAACATCTTCATTCTGGCGTTGCACCTGCTTACAGAAATTTGAACAAATAGCCAGAACGGAACTAAGTACCTGTATTTGTGATAGTTTAAATTTTATGAACTAATGAAATTATATTATAAAGCTCCATTCTTAGAGTCTCTGCCTGAGAAAAAAGTACCCACACATCCTTGGGAGATCTCTTTTTTAGGATCAGCACTGAGCTGCAGAATTGCTAGCTTCAGTAATAATCTGGCCAGTAATAGCACACGTTTCATAAGCTATCATGTGTTTTTCCAGGGAGTGGCAATGTGTGATCATTATAAATGCAAGAGTCTGCTAAAGCATATTTTGAGAAATAAGGGAGGAAGTTGCACTGAACCACATTGCTATGGAAATATCCACTGGGGAGGTGGGACTTAAATAAAACTAGTGAAACTTGCTGGTAATTTTAAGGACACTACCAGCAGTTGCATGCACACCAAATAGAGAGTATCCACACCAGGAATATTTAAATGTTTTTAAGAAAAAGTCTTCAACAGAAATCTTCTATCCATCTGAATGGCACCAGCTGACATAGGGTAATTTTTAGATGCATCTCATTGACTAGAAGAAACAGTTAGCAAACAGTTTTGGGGCTATGCAGCAATTAACTTTGAGGCTTCAAAGTCTTGTCACAGAAACTGGCTTGCAAATGAGAGACATTTAGGACTGAACACCCACCCTGAGCATTCAGACTTCATGGAAATGCTCTTCAGGTGCACTGCACAGTGCACACAAAATTCCCAGCCTGTGGTTACTCCATGAGCAGCTGGGATGCCAGCAGGGAGAATGTTGAGTCAGAGGAATACAGAATCTCAGCGTGGTCTGTCAGCCACAGACTCCATCTCCTGAGCTGAAGCATCAAGTGCATCACTGCTGTCCTAGAAGATCCTTCTGCATTGCTCCTGCCTGAGAACATCATCTTGCAGAAGGAGCAGAGAGAGAAAACCAGAAACTTTTCCCTCTGGAACAAACTGCTCTTGGTATGGGGTAAGTTCTGGCTACCTCTTAAATAAGTGAAGTGAGGCAAGTGGCTTCACAGCCACAACTTTAAAAATGAGTAATGCACATAATAAGTGAGTAATAACACAAAAGACAGTAATCTGAAAGGGGAAAAAGACCCCAGCAAAACAGCTGTATGCTTTTTGAGCATCGCTGTGTGAAATTCCTCAGGTATGACATTTAAAAAATCACTGAACATGCCACCACAAGATGTCAGCATTGCAGAATGGTTATTCCTGCCAGAAACAGAAAAGGTTTTTGCATCCTATATGCATTTGGTATTAGATTTAATTGTTTTTGTATGATGGCCTAATCTGGCCTTATTTTTTTCAACCATTGACATTGTGATGTCATTCCAAGTTTAATTGCAAGGGAGAATTTCTTAAATGACTTTTTTGAATTAACTCTATATTAAAAACTTTTAAAAATGCTTTCACAGCATGAACAGCAGTACTAATGGCCAGTAATACCTTGTAGCCATCAACGTGTTGTTTCAGGCTGCATCCAGCCTGGCTAGAAAGCGCTCACTAAAATTGTACCTGTGTAATGAGGTGTCCAGAGGTCATCCAGAGCTCTCTGCTGCTGCATGCTAGGCCTTTATAAAACCTTCATGCTGGCTGGAGAAGGCTCATCTGACCTTAGTGGAGGAAGTAGGAAGAAAATGTGAAGCTATTTTGGGCTTCTATTTACAAGAGAAGGATATTTGGGGTAGCAAATCTTTTAAAAGGTGTCCAGGAACATAAGCCAAATCACCAGCAAAAGAATTAATTTCTTTTTTTTTCTCCACTTCCTTTTGTAAGAATAAAAGATCTGAGCAACAGTTTTTGTTTGTTTCTGCATTTCTTTCAAATCAACTAACCAGCCTCATTTTTCTTGCACATTGAAATTCATGTCCTGTTTCGCTGGGATGCTCTGTACTTTTTGCCTTTATCATTGTGTCCTCTGAAACATTTCCTGTTGCACACAACAGCTTTCTCCCTCTCCTGCTGTTACGGCTGTCACAGCCCTGCCACCGTGCCAGCAGCAAGTGACAGGCTTAGCAAGGGATGGTGTCCTGGGAAGGGGAGATGAGTGGGAGGGTGCAGTGAGCCAGGAGGGGCTGTGTGAGTTCAGAA